TGCCAAAAGAACCAACAAAACTGGGTTGGAAAAAGTACAGCCAGAACGCTCCTTGGAAGCCAGATGGTCACACTTCATCGCTCATATTTTGGATATATTATCAGGAGTGACCAATCCCTGGAGAAGGACATCATTTTTGGTAAAGTGGAGGGTCAGGGAAAAAGAGGACGATCCCCAACAAGATGGATTGGCACAGTAGCAGAAGTAATGAGCCAAGGTTGTATTCTTTCACCATACTTATGAAATCTGTATGCTGAGCAAGTAATCTAAGAAGCTAGATTATATGAAGAAAAACACAGCATCAGGATTGGAGGAAGACTCATTAACAGCTTGCAATATGCAGATGATACAACCTCACTTGCTGAATGCACAGACGACTTAAAATACTGATGAAGATTAAAAACTACAGCTTTTGGTATGGTAAAGAAAACAAAAATCCTCACCATTGAGCCAATAAACATCAAGATAAATAAAAAATCAAAGACTTCATTTTGTTCAGATCAACCATCAACACTCATGGAAGCAGTAGTAAAGAAATCAAACGATGTACTGTATTAGGCAAATCTGCTGTACGAGACCTCTTTAGTGTTGAAGCTAAGATGTCAGTTTGAGACTAAGGTGCACCTGACTCAAGCCAAGGTATTTTCAATAATCTCATATGCATGTGAAAGTTGGACATAGAATACGACCATAGAATTATTGATGCATTTGAGTTATGGTGTTGGAGAATATTAAAAGTACCATGGACTCAGAACAACAAACAAATCTGTGTTGGAAAAAGTATAGCCAGAATGCTCCTTAGAAGTCAGGGTGGCCAGGCTTCATCTCTCATACTTCAGACATATGGTCAGGAAGGACCAGTCCCTGGGGAAGGACATCATGCTTGGTAAAGTGGAGGATCAGTGAAAAACAGAACCCCCCAACCCCCATGGCCTCTAGTGAGCTGGACTGGCACAGTGGTGGCAGTAATGGGCTCCAGTATAGCAATGATTGTGAGGTTGGTGCGGGACTGGGCAGTGTTTTGTTCTGTTGTGCACAGGGCCACGGTGAGTCGGTATCAACTCGATGGCACCTAACAATAACAACAACAACAACATGAGATTCAAAGGTTTATAGTAAAAGGGAATGTATAATCACTTCTATATAAGGTAACTCTCGATTCTTTGGTACCTCTACCAAAGTGTAACAATGGTCAGAAATTAAAGACAGACACATCTTGTTTTATTGCAGTTAACACATTTCTTTTTTTAAAATTGTTTATTATGAATTGAGTGAAGGCTTATGGACAAGACCAGCAGTTTTACCTTCAACAAATCATACACTTTGTTTCATCTCAGTGACTGCAGTCCCCTCCCTGTGCTTCCTGCTTCTGTTCTACCTGCCTTCCCATTCCTTCTCAACTTTGTCCTTAGGAAAATGATGCCCTTTGATTTTGAAAGACTGACCATTCCATGGTGAATATATCTTACTAGTGTTGGTGCCGCCCCCAAGCCCCTCACCCCCCAATATATATCTATTGCTTGGCTGAAAATTAGGTCACAAGGGCAAGTTCCTTTCCAGACCTGAAGGGTCGCTGAGGACCACAGTCTCAGGTTCCTCCTTCTCTTTCTGAGGCCAGTCTTTTTCAATAATTTTGAAGTTTGTTCCACATTTTCTCCAACGCTATCCAGGACCTTTTAACTTGATCTCTTTCTGAACAGTTGGTAGTGGTAGCCAGGCACCATCCAGATATTCTGCTCTCAGTCGTGGAGACTGATGTTCACATGTTCCATTACAGTCCATTGAACTAACTCTTTATAAACATGTTCAAGTCTCATCACTCCCCTTTCATCCACAAATGGAGAAACCAATAGTTGCACCTTAGATGGCTGTTTATGAGCTTTTAAGATCCCAGATGCTACTTACCAAAGCAGGATGCAGAACACTGTCTTTGTGAATGAACTGTTATGCTAAGTGACCATGGTGTCTCCTGAGGCTATGGTCCTAAGCCCTCAGGTTCAGCAACTCAATGCCTTAAGATGTTTGCTAATATCAAAGAAATTTTCTTTACTTTTCTTGCTACATACTCCATCACATTCATAGGTATATATGCAGCAAGGGTAAATACTCATGTACCAATATCCTATTTCAAACCCTTATGTATTTGTGGGTATACGCTCCCTCTCATATCAGCTATTGCATTTCCTAAAAAACAAATTGAAGGTATGTACAACCATATGTCTAGCAAGTCTACTGGTGTCATTTTTAAACAGCATGCGCTCACTTCGAGTTTGTGCAGCATTTTGTAATTCTCACAATATTTCCAACTTTTTCATAACATTACTGCACATTTAATAGACTATAATGTAGTGCAGACTATGCACTGGGAAACCAAAAAAATCATGTGACTTGCTTTAGTTCAGTGGTCTGGAACTGAACTCACAATATCTCCAAGGTATGCCTGCGTATTTGTTTTAGATTTGTTGTCCTTCATTTAAAAATATTTTTTGGATAAATGAATCAAAATTTTAAATGATCTAATATAAAAGAGTGCTATCTAAAGTGAAGGATATAATATAATCATTAGATGTCTGATTTTAATCGTAGTTTATAAAAGTGATTCCCTCAGGAAAAAAAAAAAAAAAAGTTGCTTTTTACCTTGTTGAAGACTACTGTGAAGACAATTGACAAACGTTGCTAATATAGTTGCCACATTCATTACTTGCCAGCATTGGGCAAGACCCAGAGTAAAAAGTTCATTCCAATAAGCTTTTACCAATGATATGCTGTTTTCTTGCCTATGCAAAAACAAAGAGTCAATTATTAAATTTTATAAACTTCGTAATCCCCATATATTTAAGAATAAAGTACTGCTTCACTAAAATTACTCTAAAAAGTCCAACTGGGCATGGACTTGATCAATTCAATTTTGTATAGTTGGTAGAATTGATGGAAATTTGCTTAGAATCCCACATATTATGGAGACAGATGGAACTGTGTTTTTAAAAAAGCAAACCACACATTTAAAACACCTCCAAACTTTCTTTTGCTTTCAATGCATAATAAATGAATTTTTAAAAAGGAATGATTAGAGTTATTTGATGGCAGGTAAGCAACCAGTTTCTGGGAGAAATGGTTTATTCTATGTTTCAGATGAGACATTACTCAAAAAACTCAAACCATTGCCTTTGAGTCAACCTGACTCATATGCGATATAACAAGGATTTCACTAGGAGTAGTTACGAGATATGAAAGGTCAAAAGCCCTTTTCTGAATGTCTAGATTAGACACTTCAGCAGCAAAGAGTAGGAAAATCATTAGAGTCTAAGAGTTAAGACACCAGGCTATTAAACCAACATCATCTACTGACTATCCAATTATAATTAGGCATATAAAATGCAGATATAACATATATTCCATATCTTGCTCAAAGTTATTATGAGATCCAAATATAAGAGCTATGTGAATAAACCATGGCATGAAGTATAGTCAGTTGTTTGCATCTGTGTTCCACATCCTCACATTCAATAAACCACAGATCAACAATACTGGGGGTGCAGGAGATTCCTAAAAAGTAATTAAGTGGGCGAAGCAATTCCTCAATGGTTAAGAGAAAGAATAAAATATAGTTTATATCACATTTGAAATGCATTAGGTATTAACCTAACCTAAGGTGTACAGGAGGATGTGCACAGGCTATATGCAAATACTACACCATTTTATATAAGGGACTTGGTGGAGTCATGGAATTTGGTATCTGTGGGAGTTCCTGGAACCAATGCCCAGAGGACACCTAAGAACAGCTGTATACACCAGGCCAACGTTTCGGGGAATGGAGAAATAGCGATTAAAAAAGGATTAAGTCTGTACTTATGGAACAGGGAAAACGTAATAAACCATCAAATTAATAAGTTTAAAACTTTAATATATTCCATATAAATATTATATACATACACTCTTATGAGAAATTTGAGGAAATAAAAAATTCCTCATTACTAAAAAAATAGCATGACACATTAGAAAATGGGGGGAAGTTCAGGCAAGGTGATTTTAAAGTCTTTCTGAGGAGGTGACATCTGAGTAGACAAAAACTAGACAGAATTTAAAAAAAGAAAAAACCCCACAAAAGATCCAGAGGGCAGTATTTCAGGAAGAACAAACGCGGGAAAATCGCTGAGGTGAGAAGGAACCTAGTGTCTACTAGGTGATCAATAGAAACAGTTGCGTGAATTACTAAAAGCCATTTCCCCTTCTTGGAATGTCCTTTCCCCACATCTATTCCTGGTTAGTTCTGATTCCTCCCTTAAAGTTTAGATCAGAGTTCACTTTCTTTCCTATCTTGAAACTTTTTACTGTGAATTGAGCAAAGGTTTACACAGCAGATTGACAGTTTCATATTCATCAAATCAGACATTTCATCTCAATGACTGCCACCCCCTCCAGGTGTTTGGTAATGTCTAAGAGGTTTTCATTATTTTGCCCCCTGAATGCTCTACCACATTCATAGGCAGATGTGTTTGCAGCAAAGGTAAACACCCCTGTATAAATATCCTGTCAAATCTTTCTACAGTCATGGGTATACTACCCAGACATTACTTTCGTGAAGAAACATTTCCTTATACTCCTCCACCAAGCAGTTTAATCATTTCCCCTAAAATGCCACCTCTAGTGGTGGTGGTGGTTGTGTTCTGACTCATAGTGATCCCATCTATTTAGGGATCCCAAATGCTGTGAATCTTTACAGGAGCAGAAAAACTCATCATCTTTCTCCTGTGGAGTGACTGGTACATTTGAACCTTGTGATTAGCAGCCCAGTTTGTAATTCACTACACCAACCATGGCTCCTAAATGCCAGCTCTACACTTATATTTCTACTTATTTCATGGCACTTTGTGAGTTTTGGGTCTACACTAAAAATCTCACTGAAGGCAGAGACTCAGAATCTGATTCATTTCTGTATCTTAGTGGATTAACGCACATGAAACACAGAAGGAATTCAGCAGATGATACCGAATTGCAAGGGAACAGAACGGGAAGAAGTGAGAACTTAGAAAAATGCGGAGGGCATGGACTCTTCCACAATTAAAACCACACATCAAACCCACTGCCATCACGCCAATTATGATTCAGAGCAATCGTGTTTGGGTTTGGAGACAGTCAAACATTATGAAAGCAGACAGTCTCATCTTTCTCCCCTGGAGTGTCTGCTGGGTTTTAACCACCGACCCTTGTGGTTAACAGCCAGTGCCTAACTCGCAGTGTCACAGGGCTCCTTTTTCACAATTATGTAATCTTAAAATCATAAGCGATAATACTTAACCATAAATAAGATAATGAAACAGTATCTCATTTCTCTTAAGAGCTTAAAAACTTAGTAAGAACATCCTAAAAGGAAATATGTACACTGATGAAAGGCACTTAATTTTTTCTTCTTAACACATCATTTATTGAAGAGTTTGGGTACTACAATAAGATGGTTATACAGATATAGAAAATATATAAAATATTTACATATATACATACATATATATATATATATATATATAATACAAAGAGATATATACAACCATGTTACTGTAGTACGCAAACTCAAAATCCACTCATAGTGACAACCTTGGAGGACAACACAGAACACAGATTGTATTTCATCAGTTCTTAAATAAAACTAATGTAATATGAAGGTTATGGTTCTTAATGAATGATGTGTTATAAAGAAAAAAAAAATGTAAGTGCCTTTTAATAGTGTACACATCTCAAGGTTGGTGGTTCACAAAGATGAAAAAACATTAACAATGTCAAAGAAGGGAAAAATATAGGAAGAAACAGAGATCCAGGTGGTGAGGAGGTCAAGTACATAGCAAGATACAAAAGACTGTCTTAAATGCAGCGAAAACTTAATAGACTATAGGGTAACTCAAGATCGGTGGTTCAAACTCACCAGCCGCTCCTCAAAAACCCTTTGCAGGGTTGCTATGAGTCATGGTACTTAACGAAAACAACTTATATACACACGATGTCCTAGGGTGGCACTGTAGGGTAAGGACCGGACTGCAAGGTCAATGTCAACCACAAGGTGGCGGTTGAAAACCACCAGTCATGCCTCTGAAATTCTATACAGTGTTGCTATGAGTTGGAACCAAAATAAAATATTTAAGAGTCATAGAAATTATTTTTTCCCTCTAGGGATTATTCAGGTGAAATTTGAACTTCTAGCTGATTTCCCTTTTCTATTCAATATCTGAGGATGACTTGTCATAAAAACACCAAACTAAAACAAAAACTATTAAAATCAATTTGAAAGTAAAGTTTTTAAGAAGAGAAAACCAATGCTTTAGTGACCTCAGGTAGAATATATTTAAAAATAAGCTTACATTTCTGATGGATGCAAAAACTGACTCAATACCTTGTTTGGAGGACAATTTGGTAATAACTATGAAAAACCAGGTGTTCCTGGATGAGAAAAATAGTTAATGTGCTCAACTGATAATTCATAAGGAGGTTCAGGTCTACCCAAATCAGCCACAGAAAAGCTAATGTAGCATAGTTCTTCACTGACATACATGGTGCTATCATGAGTCAGAGCAGCTTGGCAGTAACTGGTGGTGGTGACATCACAAACTAAAATGTACACTTTTAGACAGAAATCCTAACACAAGCAGGCAAAGATATATATGTTGTTGTAAATGTCAGCGAGTTGGTCCCAGCTCATACAACCCTGTACAGGGTTTCCAAGGAGTGACTTGGTGGGGTTGAATAGCCACCTTGTGGTTTAAATTGATTTTGCGGTCCAGTGCTTATTCTATAGCATGCTACACCAGGACTCCAAAGATCTGTACATTTGTTAGGTGCCATTGAGTCAGTACTGACTTATAGTGACCCTACGTACAATAGAATCACACACAGCCCAGTCCTGGGCCAATCTCACAATGGCTGCTACACCTCGCTGGGTATATCTTCCTCTTTTTCTCTGACCCTCCACCTTACCAAACATGATATCCTTCTGCAGTGACTGGTCCCTCCTGACAATATGTCCGAAGTATGAGAGACCAAGTCTGGCCATCCTGGCTTCCAAGGAGCACTTTGGTTGTACTTCTTTCAACGCAGATCTATTTGTTCTTCTGGCAGTCCATGGTACTTTCAAAATTCTCTTCTAACACCATAACTCAAATGCATTGGTTCTTCTATGGTCTTCCATCATTCACGATCCAATTTTCACACACATATGAGGTTACTGAAAATACTGTGGCTTGCGTCAGGTGCACCTTAATCTTCAAACTGACATCTTTGGTTTTTAACACTTTAAAGAGGTCTTGTGCAGCACATCTGCCCAATGCAATAGGTTGTTTGATTTCTTGACTGCTACGTCCATGAGGGTTGATGGGCTGATCCAAGCCAATGAAGTCTTTGACAACTTCAATCTTTTCTCCATTTATCATGATGTTATTTAGTGGTCTAGTGGTGAGGACTTTTGTTTTCTTTACATTGAGATGCAACCCATACCCAAGGTATATTTACAACCATATTACTATAGCACCCAAACTCAAAATCCACTCATAGCAACCCTGTAGGACAATACAGATCTGAGCCAGGAGGTTTCCAGAGCTTTACAGAAGTAGACTGTCACATGCTCCTCCCACAGAGTGGTTGGTGAATTTGAAGAGCCAACCTTTCGGGTTAGCAGCCAAGTGCTTCACATTGCACCAAAGGGCTCCTTCTAATAATGAAGAGAAGAAACAACACCCTAAATACCTATTAATTAGAGTTGAGTAAATTAATACATTATAATAAATCTGCAATCTGAAGAATAAAGAAGAGAGTAAATTTAGATGTGCTGACATAGGAAGAAATTGAAAATATAGGTGTAAAATGCAAGTCAAAGAAGACACTAGGCCAACTGTGTGTAGTATATTTGATTGTTTGAATGTGGCATAGAAAAGATCTGACAGGACATAAAATTGCTAACAGTGGGGTACATTATCTCTGGAAAGTCAGGTTTTAATTTTATACTTACAGAGGAAGGGGCTTCAAAAAGCTCATAAAATAGGCTATTATCTTATAACCCAGTTTCCATGAATTTTATGTCAACACTATTTAAAGTTTATATAAATATGAAATGCAAAAATGAAGATTGAAACAATTAAAATTTCACTTTAACTTCTGATTCTTAAGCTAACCAAGATAGTTAACAAGTAAACAGGAGAGTTAAAACAACAGAGGCAACTGGAAAGAAATCAGAATGCCTACTGGTTATAGTAGGAGTCATGGTGTGGTGCTGTGGGTTAATTCACTGGACTGCAAGGTCT